TAATCTAGATTTGGAAAATTAAGTTTGAGGCAAACAGGCTTGAGCAGATTGAATAAAATTATATTAATTTCAATTTTCAACAATGTTCCAAGTACTTACTATGTCTTTGCCATCAGAAACACTTACCGAGAAAATTTGCTTCAACATCAACCAAGCCAAGAAGTATGTAATAATACCATTTTGCCTGCACCAATACCGTATGGGTTAGTGAAAATAACTTGGGATGTTCAATGCTCAAAAGAGAACAGAGTTAAAGGATCATATCAATATATCTTTTAAAGAAAGTCGTCTCGCACCCTCTCGTTGAAGGTTCATTCTTTTTTACCAAGAAGTTAATGAATATTACATCTCAGTGTTATGAAGTAAAAACAGTATAATAAAATTACGTGTCCTAAAACTGTGGTAGTTTATATCTCCATAACAGCTTCCCAAGAATATTGTCAAAATTTGTAGATAGATAGGATCGTGCAAATAGATGGAACTTTTTAATACTGGCTAGAGATATCACTGATCCACCATTACGAATGTAAAACAAAAATAGAAGATTCATAGACATTTGAGATACCATTCTTATCCAAAATTCTTTTTACTCTAATTCTTTATGAACAACTTTTTTACTTATACAGATACCCATATATTTCAGCACCATTATGGTCACCTCTGGGTCTGCATTATAGTCACCTCTGGATCTATACAGTGCTACATCAACAATTCTCTTTACAAAATTCCAGAGCAACCAAATGGCTCTGCAAATTCGTAGTTTCTTTCTGCCACCTTCAAGTGATTTTCATAAAGCATCCCTTTCTCTTATCATGAAAGTAATAATAAATACACCACCAATACCAAACCTTGTGCACGTGATGTTCATCATTTAAAATGACAGCACAGTATGAAAGCACAGATAAGCTGAAGGCATACAAAAGATACTACCAATAGTTTGCTGCCATCTAATGAAAGCATCAGCTTAAAATGAGATGAAGGTGATAAGCACAAATCAGATATAAAAGAATGTTTCGAATATTCTTCCTTCAATTTCACAAAAAAAAAAAAAACAAAAATTAAAATTAGTAGTTATCTAAGGCAAAAGCATCATGTATTGCAAACAAATCAAAGCCCTGGTCTATAACCTTAAGTGCTTCCCTTCTGTACAGAACAATGCTCCCGTAGACAATAGCCAAAAACACGTAGTTTAAAAACGACTGTGAAGTTGGTGCATTAATCCCTGTGAGGTGAGGAAGAACATAGCATGTTAAAACGAAATTCAGAAAGCAAAACCTACTGATAAAAACACACGTTGACAATAATCAAGTCAATCCAAAAATGTTCATTAACCAAAGACTTCCGTGGACTACCAATCAAGAACCAAAAAGAAACTAGAAGAGAGAGAATTTCGGTGAATCGTAGGAGAATGAGAATGCAGCCAAACCTTTTTTGGCCAATTCAGAAGAGGTGAAACCAGTTGAAGTGATCAGAAGAGAGAGAAACTGTCCCAACCCAAGACCTATTAACGTGTTTTTGTTCCTAAATTGCTCGAAAGTGATCATCTTTTCCTATTGCCCGGGAAAAAGAAGTCAAAATATAAGATAGAATGTGAAGTTCAGTAACACCCTTTTGCAGACACTGTGCTATTTACTATTGAGGATGTTCCAAAGGACCGAACTTTCAGAGGAAGAAGCATGACAGACTCTCTTAAGAGGTTGGGCTGTGTTTGGGTGAAATCATAAACAGGTCCTCTGCGGAGTTTACAAATTATTAGGGTTGTAAGTGTCGTGATAATTCAATTAATCTAATTTTTATCAAACTCAATTAAATTGATGGGTCAGTTTTACGTTCTTTATTCACTGACTTCACCAATCTAAGTCAACTTAATTATAATTGAGTTATATAAGTTAAATAATTTATTAAAAAATACTTTAAAATAAATTCTATCAATATTTTTTAATAAATATAAAGTAATAAAAATACTTATGTTATGATACGTAAATAAAACTAATCAGATAATAAAATATAAATCCGTTATATGAATAATATTTTCGTTATATATTTGTTATCCAGTCATCAAATTTAAAATTTATGAATTCTTTACTTAATTCATTCTAATTGAATGTAGTAATAAAACCGATTCATTTTAAGGACGTAACCGAATACACAATAAATATAATATAATTGGATTAGATATGTTGCATTGATTTCTGCCGTACTACTTGGAAAATTTGGTGATAGCATTTAATATTTCTCTTGCTAACATTCAAATTAGAAAAAAAAAAGTGTACTGGCGATAGAATTTTTCATTCAATAATTTAAGAATAAATAAATTATGTTTTTTTAATATTGATTTTATATAATTTAGAAAAAAAATATTTTTATATTTTTTTATTAGTTCTTCTGTTCTTGTTTTCTCTTAGTTCACTGTTTTTTTATATGTAGGACAACTTTTTTGTTGGTCTTTTTTTGTCTTGTTGGCTCTTGAGTTACACTATTTCATCGTAGGAGAAAGTGTTTTGTTATCTTTCACTTGAATTTGCAGTATTGTATAACACGGAAAGTTTTTGGTTGAATTTTTTTTATAAGAGTATATGACTGATTAAAAACTTTAATTCAAATGGAATTTTTTTTGTAATTTTCAACTCCATTGAGTTTATGTAGTATAGGATAATTGTGACTGTTTAAAAGTATAATTGTTTTGCATGATAAATATGATTTAAAATACAATAATACAATTTCACTATCAAAATGACTTTCTTGATCACTCGTTATAACCTTAGGTACTATAACAAAAAAAATTAGTTCTTGTAAACAATTTTTTAATTATTATTATTTATCACTTTGACCCCGTACACATAATAATAATAATTGAAATATAAGAATATAAGAATTGAATAAAAATTATGAAATAATAACATTTGAAATTTTAATGACTATATGCATATTTTTAATGAAAATTACGAGGCAGATTGAGTTTAAAAAAATTGAATTTTTTTTATTTGGATTAGTTTTCAATCGATTGACTTAAAATTTGGGTCACCTAATTTAATTTAATATTTTATTATTTTGTGTTTCAATATTATTAGTTAATATTCCTTTTATTATATGCTAGATGAGGTAAAAAAAGAATGTTATAAGAGAGAAAAATATTATAGATTTATTTATTCAAAAATCTAATATTATAAATGAAAAACGAATACAAAAATTATCAATATTAAAAACTTATTTGTTTGTCTTTTGTGTTTGTTTTTTTATTATATGACATATTATTTTTATTATTTTGATTTGTCTTTCAAGTTTAACATTAGTGAAATTTATTTAGATTTAAATTAATTTTTTTTATTTTAAAAAAAATATAATTAAGTGAGTGAGTAACCCAACTCGTTTAACCTACCAATTTATGGTGAGTCGGTGAGATTTAAGTTTTTTCAGTTTCCTAATAAATAAGTCAAGTTGGATTGACTTGCTAAGTGACAAACCCGAACCCGTAATATATTGGATTGAGTCAGATCTGTCCTTTGAACAACTTTAAGTTATGAATATTCTCCCCATGTTATTAATATTCTACAGCGTTATTCTTTATTATTAAACCCAAAATGTTACTATTTTAATTCGTAATTAAAAGTAAGATAAAAAATTAAACCAAGCGACAAATTAATTATAATTTTTTTAGCCAACACTAATTACAGAAAGTAACACGATAAAAAAGTGAAAAAGAAGAAAAATTGCATGTGTGGTATGTTTGAAAAGACAGAAGAAAAGTTGAAGAAGAAGGTCGGAGTCAAAGAGGTGGTTTCTTTCACATAAATTGAAAGATATAAATTTATTAAGTGTTAATAGATCATACAAATTTATTAGTGATTTAATTAAAAATTTTCAAATTTATTATAAACTTAAAATATAATTAAGTGCAAATAAAAATGATGAGATCATACAAATGATTTACCTTATAAATAGTCACGTGTTAATGTTGAATTATTTATTTAAATCAAATTTTAATGATAATTTATATATTTTTTATTCTACCTTTAATTAATCATGAAATAATTAAATTTCAATTATTTTTCACTAAAATTTTATTTATTTTATTAAATATCAAGAATAAATGTTTTATATATAGTGTTTTTCTTAAATATTACTACAAAAATATATTATTGCAGTTTAGTAAATATATAAGATATTTTTTATATTAACATATTATTCCATTTAAATTATGAATTATTTGTTAATTTGACATTTTAAAAATGTTAATCATAGAGTTATTATTAATTATTTTTAATTTTTATAACCAAATTTTATAACATTCAAATACTTTTACAATAATCATTTTAACTTATATTATTAAACATCTTAAAACTTCCTATAAATTTTTTTCAACATCTCAAAAATTAGTTATCATCACAGACATTACAACAAAATTTACTAAATTAAGGAACTTTTATTTCTAATATCTTTAACTACTCAAAATAGTATTTATTTTATTTAAACCAGTACATTCATTTTTTTAATTCAAAAATGGAAAATTAAAATTATATTTTCTATTATAAAGTTTTTATTTCAAGAAAACTACAATAATAAATTTAACTTCAAATCTTGTTATAAAAGTAATATTACAAAAACAAAACAAAAAAATTTACCTTGTTCTTCCTGTTAAACTAATTAAAATTTAATATTAAAATTTATAATCAAATATTTTAAATTAATCTTCTCTAATTTTCAATTTTAACTTATTATTTTATATATATTTCAAAGAATAAAAAGTATACGTTTTTCTAAGTTGCATGGTTTTTCAGGAATAGAAATATTTTGGTGAAAGAACGTGATATTTATGTGTAAAAATTTATTTACATATTAGAATTATGTCTCTAAATTTTTAAAGAAATTATATTTTTAAAATTAAAAAGAGTGAATTTTATTTATAGTATAATAAAATGAATGCTTGATAAAAAAAAAAAAAGGTTGGTGAGATAAGAAAGAGATAGGGCATGATGTCCATAGATCTAAGATGATATATATACAGGCGGAAGAGAGAGAATGAGATGAGGTAAAGAAGATACGTACGTAGCCTATTCTTTGATGCTCTTGCTCTTGCTCTTGCACTGCCACATCCAAAAATATTAGGGTTAGGGTTTCAGCTCAAACCAACTGTCAGTGGATCTATTCTCTGTTGCTTTTGCGTTTCCATGGATCATCGCAAGAGGGGGAGGTCTGAAGCTGCCTTCAATGTCAATGGCGCCGCCAAGAAATTCAGACCAGGTTTGCTTTTATTCTTTCATTACTTACCGTCTTCTCCTTTTCGTTCTGCTTACGACTTACGCACACTTCCGATTTGTTTTCACTTTTATCGGCTCCTTTTCTCTTTAACTGTTCTTTTTGTTTTCATCTGCGCGAAAAATGATTAACAATGGAAGAGCGACGAAAAACAGTTAAAACTCCGTGTTCTCTTTCACCGTACAGATGCAGTTTTGTAAATATTTTACCTTTCCATATTATCACAGCAATTTACCTTTTGTCGTGGTAATATGTATGAAATGTTGAATTATTTTCTCGGGCACCTTCTCCGAAAACACTCGGTATAAGTTAGCTTAAATGAGCTGATATTGGTCAAATAAGAAGAAGAAATAGTTATTGGATGTTATCCAAGTTGAATCATAAAAGATCAATGGAATCTTAACTGAGAGAACTTAATTAATGTTTTGTAACAGAAACGGACTCCTTTCCAACTGGTTTAGGAAGCAAATCGAAGCCATGCACAAAGTTTTTCAGGTTCAAATCTTTAACTTATCTAAAATAAAAATTTAATGCACTTTCGTATATGTATAAATTTTATAATGTTTTAGATAAAATTGGTACACAATCTCTTCAAGCTGAATCCATATGATCTGACTAATGAATTGGGTAGTTAAAGCTGTGATACAGGTTCTACTTCTAATTATGATAACAAGACTATGAACAGAAATTGTTGATTCCCAAGAATGATCAGTTCTATTAAGTGCTTCCTGGGCAATATATAATTGAAAGCAGTTCTATGGGATGCATAACTTGATCTACGTAATTGGTCGTATACAATTTTCTGCAATCTTTTCAAGTAAATGGGTGTGATGCCAACCACTGAAATGGCTAGAGCAGTACAGGGCCTAAGACATATATATCTATCAATACTCCAAAACATTAGTGGATGGAATGGTGCTTAAAAGCATTTACGACACTCTTCTTTCTTATTTTTGTATGGAATTTTGAATTACCTGGTGTTCAATTGATCTCTATGATACAATGGTTCTTACGTTGATTATACTGCTTAGCTGATATATGCTATTGTACAATTGTTTGGTATATTACTCTCCAAGCTGATATCTGCTGTATTTTTGTCGCCTTATTTATATTGAAGTCTGAAGATTTCCATTCGATTCTGAATGCATCAATTTGAAGATTAGCCATGGCTTGGAAAAGTAATGGCTAAATTGAAAGAAAGGATATTGAGCTACAAGGACAAAATAATATAGAGTTTGTAACCATGGAAACTGGAAAGGCTTTAGAGTTTTAGGAAGAGCATAGTGATAATTTGAAATTATTGAAGTTTTTACTTCTGTTGAATATAATCATTCTGCTTAAGAGCCTGGTACCTCACCAGCTTATAGTCCCACAAACAATATTCTGGTTGTTCCATGGGTGACTAATAATATATATTGGATTCTCTTCACCCTTGCAGATATACAAAAATCATAACATCTTCCATTAGCAATTATTTTCTTTTGCAAATCTCCCCAACTCTTTTGCCAAATAGGACTTTAAATTCACTGCAAGGTATTGTACCTTCAGATTTTACATTAACTTAGCTTAAACATCTTTTCTAGGATGGCATAGCTGTTGTCATGTATTTATTGTAAATCCTATTCAATCAGAATTCTTCCTTGTGCAGACCAGTCGCATTCTTTGTCCCTTCCTCTCTTTCATTTGCTGTGGAATCGAAAACAATCTTTTGTTGTATTCTTAGTTTGTCAGTTTTAATGGCATTTTTGTCAACTTATATTAATTTAATTTTAATTCTTTTTTATGGCTAAAAATTTCTTTCTATAACTGTTTGTTAGCTGATTGGAATCTTGATTCAGATAGATTTAATCTGTTTATGTTTAGCGTTAGTGCTAGTTGCATCGTCTTGATTCTTAATCAGTAACTATTACGTAGAAGTTTGACATCCTTCTCTTGCTTGACAGTAAGCAAGGTAAGCTATTTCATGACTTGATAGTGAATTTTTTGCTTGATAATTTGCAATATCTTTCACCCATCTGTGCTAGGAAGCGGCCCCTGCTGATGGGAGCTTAATACATGTTTTTAGTTCCTTATATGATACATATTCTGCACCTGATTTTTTTACAAAAATATATATTTTACAATATGTACGAACATTTGTTAAATATTAGGATTAAGCCTTATACCTGTTTTTTTTTTTCGGCTCAAGGTTTGATTTTTCGTAGTCTTTACTTGTGAATTTATTGTTATCTCTGGCTTGAAACATGGAGAGATTATGGGTTTGTACCTGGTGGTTTGTTTTCAGTTAATGCTTTCAATTTTTTTAGTCTTAGTTGATAAAATCCTATAATGATAAGGAAGTGGGTCATTCTTGAACCTTGAGTTATTCAATCAACCTTTTTTATCACTATCGGTTTGCATATTATGCTGACATTTACTTTAAACTGAGGGAGCCGCTGATTTGCAATGTTTCACGTTTTGGATTTCTGTTCAAGTTCATTGTCATTCCTGATTTATACTGGTGATTATCTCTATTTGAATTGAAGATGGAGCTTTACTGATATCTGTATTTATGAACCATTAAAAATTGTGATGTTGTCATCCTTTCTCATTTGCTCTCTTCCTTAGAAGATACAGATAAATGCTGGGAGTGTTTGTCAATTGTCTAGCAAGTTAGGACCCTTGAATGCCTTGGTAGTCTATAATATTGTATATGATTGCTTGTTTACATTAGGAGTGTGATTGCCGGCCCTATGCTTGGTTAGAAATGGAGGAGGGAGATAGGATACAAATATCCAATTTCCACTATTTGTAAATTCATCTTTTTTTAAGTTTTCTCTTGTAAATTTGTCTTCATGTGTCTATGTTCTGCTTGTGTTTTTAATCTGTGTTTTTATCTATTTTTACTCGTGAGTTTTCCCCTCTCTTGTTTTCTCTGTTCCATGTGTCTATGTTCTGCTTGTCCTGTCTCTGGTCTGATTTCTTAGGTCTCCACTCACATATCCTCATTAATCTGTGCTTTTATCTGTTTACCCTGGGGTTTTTCGCCCCTCTTGTTTTCTTTGCTCCATTAGTCTGTGTTCTCTGTTTAGTTTCTCTCTAATATGAGTGTTAGTTATGTACTTTTGGTCATATCTACTCCCGGAAACCCAAATTATTCATTCCTTTTTCTCCATTTATTGGTAGTCAGCCATAACATTTTTGTTACTAATTTTCTTGGATGATTGCTTAAGGGATGAGACCTATAACTTCTTATTGTTAATTGTGAACATCTCAAGATTTGAGTATTTTGAAAATTTATATGTATTTAGTATGAATTATATAAAATGTATGAGAAACGTTAAAAATACAAGTCATGTTGCTATGCACCGTAATGTTTTTGTGTTTTTGGGGACAACTGTACGGTTTACTTCCTGGACTGGTAGTTGTGTCCTCTCTCGAATCTGAACGGCTGCTTCTAATTCAGTCTAAAGTGACCACGGTTAATGCATATTTATGTTGTTCCTTGTTGAAAAGAATATCAGATAGACATTACAAGTTACAATAGAAAATTGATGTATGTGAAAATTACTTACGAAGAAGGAACAAGACTATTTTCGTAAAACTCATGTGACTGTGTCACATGGATCCTAGATTTTCGATTATCTTTTGTTAATGTGTATTCTTAATGTTCGTTCAATTGGGAATTTGATGTTTGTAGCCCCTCTATGTTTGTTGCCTCTACTATGAGAAATCAGATTGAGCATTGTTGATTGCTGAATCTTATTATTTTAGACTTCAAAATGATTTATAGTTTCTATATTACTGTGAATTAGATATGCCATTCTGTAGTTTGTTTCGTATGTTTTCTCCCATAATATGTGCTCAAATTTCTAATCTTATTTGTACTTGATTATAATGCTCCTAGCACTATTCTCTTATTTTGTCTTTAGAATAATTTGCTTGCTTACTTATGAAATACTTTACCAGTCTGAACCTGCTTTTTCCCCCCTGTACTGTCTTTGGGTATTCAATATTTTTTGTTACTTCGGTCATCCATCGTTAGTATTTGCACTGCTAAGAATTCCCAGATAACGTTATATTGTATTTGCTTAGCTAGAGGAAGATGTTCTTAATTATGAAAATAAAGAAAAAAGGCATTAGTTTTGTAAGGGAAAGCATTCTTGATACATTTTAAATGAATCATCTTAATTCTTAAACGATGCTACTTTGGTGTATATTATTTGTCTGTCACTTTTTCGGCTAATTTTCAGTTCATACTTCGTAGAGTGAATTAGTATTTCACTTAGGTCCCACCTCTACCTGTATAAGCTTTGGAATCTTACTAGTTGGATATGTTATTAACCTCTTATGTCATCTTCTTTCCTCTATAATGCAGCACCTCTGGCTGTCCATTTGGTGAAGGATGTCATTTCCTGCATTATGTTCCTGGTGGCTTCAAAGCAGTCTCTCAGCTGATCAATGTTGGGAACGATCCTGGTATTCCTCATGTTGGTAGAAATCCTATTCCACCATCCTTCCCTGATGGGTCTTCCCCTCCAGTTGTTAAAACCCGATTGTGCAACAAGTTTAATACCGCTGAGGGTTGCAAATTTGGTGACAAGTGTCACTTTGCCCATGGTGAGTGGGAGCTTGGCAGGCCTACGGCCCCATCATATGAAGATCCCCGTGTTATGGGACAAATGCCAAGCAGCAGGATCGGTGGACGTCTGGAGCCCCCACTTCCAGCTCATGGCGCAGCTGCCAGCTTTGGAGCCTCGGCCACTGCAAAAATTAGTATCAATGCCGCACTAGCTGGAGCAGTGATTGGAAAAGGAGGCGTCAACTCAAAGCAAATTTGTCGTGTAACAGGAGCTAAACTTGCCGTAAGGGATCATGACACGGATTCTAACCTCAGAAACATCGAGCTTGAAGGCAGTCTTGATCAGATCAAGCAAGCCAGTGCAATGGTACACGAACTTATTTTAAATCTTAGTTCTGCCTCTGGGCCTCCAATGAAGACCTTTACTACACAGACTTCCGCCCCGGCAAGCAACTTCAAGACCAAGCTCTGCGAAAACTTCGCTAAAGGTTCCTGCACTTTTGGGGAAAGGTGTCACTTCGCTCATGGAACTGATGATTTGCGCAAGACTGGAATATGATAGTGTTTTAATATAGCTTACATGGTTTTAGCGAGGATTGAATTGTGCAAAATTTTCTAGCTTTTCAATTTTTTTTCTCAATCAGCTTCTAATTTGCTACATCGTAACTAATGGTGAGTCTTACCACAGCTTCTGAAATTCGATTGCCTCACTATCACTATTTTATATTTCATGTTGGCCACTTCCTTCCATTATTTGTTGCCACATTAACTTTTAAAATACAAAAAATAGAAACACGATCGCTTTCCCTTTCTCCCCTGTCCAATTTTACAAACTTTATGTTAGACTCATGGTTATTATATTCCCCATCCCTTTTTCTTTTAACCTATTTTTTTTATAGCAAGAAAAAGGTCTGTGGTGTGTCTTTGGCTAACAGTGAACATTTAGAAGAAGTACGACAATATGAAAAAACAAGATGATATATGAAATTCTGATTAGAAATGTAATTACTCATAGATATCCTATCTTACCGGTGAATTGTATTACTGAGATTCTTTATTGTAATTTACATAGCTAAGGAACACACCTTTTAGTTATAAGAGGCAACTTATTTCTATGTTGTGTTTGAAAATAAACCATACAATAAAAAATTATGTGTTAATTTAGCAATCATAGGGTTTACTGCTGGATTGTAGGTGATTGAAGAGATTTTTTATATTCAAAATATATACATGGTGTTTGGTTAATAATATTGCATATGTGAGAGTTTCTTCCTAATAGTATGTGAGTTTGAATTAGTATAACTTGAAACATCTCCGCTTTATATATTCTCTCTCTATGTAAAAAATATATGTGAAAAGTTTATTTATTTCGATAGTCCTCGTTCAAAATATTAATTATATAGTACACTTTTGAAATATTTTATTGCTTAAATTTCAGATTGTGTTAAATAAATTATTTTCTTTATTAGATCACAACTTTATAATGAAGCACAAATCCATACTGGAAGTTAATGGTCGACTTTTAGTGAGGACTATATGTCAATCTTTTGACACAATATTTAAAATATAGAACTTGTAACAAAATTTAATATTAAATATATATATTGAGTAGAGATAAAACTATTTTTCATTATATAAGTCAGTAATATTTTTTTTACAAATTAGTTTTGTGATAATAGATTAGATAGTATCAAACTCTATATTCAAACAAAATTTCAGATCAAAATAAACCTTTCACTTTGTGTATCCAATGAAGATATTGGAAAAATAAATGTATTTATCATATCAAAATTAAAAGCAATTAAATACCTATTGTATAAATGTAAAATATTTGATAAAAAATTTCTTAATATTTCACATTATATAATTTTGTAAATCCAGTTTTGCCGGCCAATTAAACCAGGGTCACTTAATGCTTCAAGGTTGGATTCACAGCTGGATTCATGAACGAGAGAATTGAAAGAAAAACTCAACTTTGATATATATTTTTTTAAAAGAAGTTAACTTTACCATGTTAGAATTAAAACTTGTACGTATATACTTGTTTAATATTTAAAAAAAAACAAAAAACAAATTTTTTTTTAAGAAAAGCTATTTATTTAGAAATTAAAAATACAATTTGTACTAAAACATTAAATATGGTGATTGTTTGAGAATGAATGAAAGTTTTGTGGAACATATATATATATATATTTGGTTGATTATCTGACAGAGTGGTTTTGTGAGGAATGCATGAAAATGTGTAAGCTTCATTAATTTGCAATGTTGTAGGAGATGTGAGAAGACGCAGGCATGACAGCTTGGTGTGTGATGTATGGAGGCAAACAATTGAAAGAATGGTTGGAATCTTGATGTTCTTGCACATGTCTTTGGCCAAGACAACTTCATACATTCTTGCATTATCATTGTCTTCATGTCTCCTTATTCCTTCTCTTTCAAATATATATTCTAAGTGTTAAAATGCAGTAATACGAGAGAAGATTCAGTAAAAAAGTAATAATTTGAGAGGAGACAGGAGTATTTAATATTGTAGTTACATGTTAGAGTGTGTGTGTTTTCAAAGTGATTGTGTGCAATTGACATGAGAATAGTGAGATGAAAGATGAGGTGGAAGAGCTTCAACCACAGCTTCTAAACCTAAATATTGGCCAAACAAAATATGTGGATGCTTACCTCACAATATCGACTCACTTCTTCCACTGTTCATATATTTTTCAAATCAATCTTGTTAGCTTAATTTGCTATCACGTGAGTTACAGATTTTATTCGTCCCTCGATAGGTTTTTTTTTCTTTTATAAATATTAACATAATTCAATTATCTTAAAAAGTTGACATAATTCACTGTTTTTTTATAAGTGAACTTTAAACCTAATTCAATTCCACTAAATCGGCTTGTAAGGTGAGATTTGCACTCACTTATATATTCTAAATTGACTTTATCTCTAGTGATATGGGACTTCCAACACCCCCTCATGTCGAGGTATATACCTCTCGAGCGTGAAACTATACATTAATGGGTGGTCCGATAATGGGCGGAACAATATATATGTCCAACAAATAATAAATATTATTATGATAGACTCTAACTTGAGTTTGATACCATGTTAAGAAGTGAACTTTAAACCTAAATGAGTCCTTTTGTATAATTCTTTCAAGTATAAGAATCTAATAAATCAGATTTTGAGATAAATAGTTAACCCAATTATAATATACTATTATAAAGTCATGTTTTTACTGTTGAAAGGTAAATAGTGTTTACTTATATCCCTTCGTGCAAATGTTTATGCTAAAAGGCATCTCAACCACTTATCATCTATATTTTTCATCTTCAAATTAAATTTTAAAATTTTAAAATTTTTATATCAATTAAAAATAAAAAATCAATTTTTATATAAATAATATAAATATCATTTTATCGAGTTTTTATAAAATTAAGTTAGATTACATTTTATTAAAGTATAATATGATATAAGAGTCGTTAGGAGTTTGTATCCTGTGTAAGATTTGAGTCTATCATGTTATCTTATTAAATTCTTTTCCATTTCAATCTTTGGTGTCTTCGACATGTGAAGTGTATTATAAATCTTGACTAAATATAAAACAATTTACAAGTGAGAAAAAAAATCACATTATTCTTATAAATTGACTCACCATACTACTACAAAAGAAATGTTATGGCAAATAATAATCGTGCTAAATTAATTCCTTAACATTTAACTAGTATATTAAATTAAAAATACTAATATAATACTTTTTTGCGGAGAAATTTGGTTAAAGATTATTGCAAAATTAATTATTGTTATCTTGTATTAATAAGATAAGATTACTTTAATAATCACATTTAAAACTATTAGTAAGAAACTGATAGTGTAACTAATTATATATATATATATATATATTATTTCTTTTAAAAGAGTTGAAGTATTCCAAGTGCTTTTTTATTTATCGCATCTTTATCACCGATAAAAAAAAACACTTAAAAATTAAACCGTGATTCGTAATTTAAAAGCTAAAAGAACTAATTGTTAAATAACAACTAAGTTACATAGCAGAAGAGAATAAGATAAAGACAGAAGCTATTTGTAAATGATATATATTCATTAATTAAAAATGTACACGATTAATTCTAAGGTATAAATGGATAATCTAACCAGCAATTAAGAAAATCACTGGCACCCTTATCCTTTAGCCAAAATTCATGACAAACAGAAGCCTAACACAGGATGCAGCTCTTATTGAGTGAATACAATAATGCTTGGGAGAGAAAATAAACACTGAGCACACTTGCATTGTTTGACAAGTTCAAACTCTCAAACCTTGCTGTTTACATCATCATGTTCTTGCTCTTCCATGTCGTTATCTTCAACATTGATGTTCTTGTACCACTTAGCACACAACAAGTATAGCACAAAGTCAAAGGCAGCTAACCCTGCAAGCAGAAAGAAGAACCTGTCCATGTGCCCTGTGTTCAAGTTCTCAGGAATCCATCCTTTGTTTTGACCCCTTGCTGTTATTATCATAACCATGTTCACCAGCATGCTGCTTACATAGTTTCCAAGAGAAATTGAAGCCATGCAAAGTGAGCTGCCAAAGCTTTTTATGCCATCAGGAGCCTGCCCATTGAAGAACTCCAATTGACCAACATACATGAAAACTTCTGAAGCACCAACCAAAACATACTGTGGGATTTGCCAAAATATGCTCAGCGAACTCGTCTTCTCTCCATGAATAATTCGTCTGAGTCTTGCAATCTCTGTGGCACCAGATGCAACCATTGCAAACATACCAATAATTAGGCCAATTCCCATTCTTTGAAGCTCACTCAGTCCCTTTGGATTACCACTTAGTTTTCCAGCTAATGGAACAAGGATTTGGCGATAAATTCCTGTGCATACAAGGACACTGCAGATGTCAAACGCAGACATGCTCGCTGCTGGCAGATGAAAACTTCCTATGTAGGAGTTCATCACATCCCCTTGCTCAACAAAAAGAGAAGCCATTTGTGTAAACACTACTGAGTAAATAATGGTACATAGCCAAACCGGTAGCATTCTTAACACGCATTTTGCTTCCTCCACTTGTGTCACAGTGCAAAGCCGCCATGGATTTTTTGAACTCTGCTCCTCGCTATCTTTGATTGTAGCTGCCTTGTCCATGAATCTACCCAATATCAAGACAAATCACATATATAAGTTTCAATTATTCATAATCATGTTTATCGAGTACGCCTGCTAATTCAATACAGCCAGGTATTAGAAAACACAGCTCGATGTTTTCTTCATTTCACATGGAAAAATCAAGCATCCCCAGATGAAAAAATTACAAACCAGAATACATTTTTTGTGGTAAGAGTAATTTCTAATTAGTTGGTTCCGAATCTTCCGATGTTTTTTGAAAACAATACTTTTGCAGAAAGACTGTTGAGTTAAGTTCTTGGTTTGGTCAAATGTTTCTTTTCACAAAAGAAAACAATCATTTGTAATCGTATAACTTGTTGTTAAATCTGAACACTTACTCAAAATCATCTGTGTGCCGAATCTTTCTACTGCCTTTTATGGCAGATTGTGATCCTTCGACCTCAAAAAGTTCTTCTGCCTTTGCTGGAGCAACCTTCCATTTCCTAACGACAGCAGAAAATACCTGAGCAACCCTCACCACTGGGTTTCCGCATGGCTTTACAAACCTGTATCTTGGAGTTCCCAGCAAGAAAGCCAAAAAGGCTATGACAGCGGAGACCAATGATACCAAGAAACCCATTGTCCACTTCCCTGTATCCTCGTAGTAGACTAGTACAGTGTTGGAAAACAAAGAACCAACATTGAGAGCAAAGTAAAAGTAGCAGAAGAAAGCTACTTTTGCACTCCTCTCTTTTGGATTTTTCTCATCGTATTGGTCTGCACCAAATGTTGCTAAGGTGGGTTGGTGCCCCCCATAACCAAATGCTACTAGATATATGGACAGGTAGAAAATGTCGTCTCCAATCGATGAAGGTTTACAAGGAGTATTGCCATCGCCACAACCAGCTGGGTTGATCAAGAAACGCCAAGATGACAAAGAGGACAGTGCTAAGCCCTGTTAAATTCAAATTTTCAGATGGTAGAAAAGTTGATAGCGTTGTTAATAAAATGTCAAAATACAAGACTAGCAGTAAAATACCAGAACGAACACAAGCTGAAACACCGTGCAGGTTAAGTATCGACCCCAGTATGAATCACTCAGAAATGCTCCGATCAATGAGAACATATAAACAGTTCCTATCCATTTGCTGACATTATTAGCAGCACTCACATTGTCTTGACCAAGAACTCTGGTTAAGAACAGAACCAAGTTCACTCCAACTCCAAAGAAGGCTAGTGTAGCCAGTGCTTGATTCACTGACAAAACAAACAAAAAGGAAGCAAGATGTAATCAAGCAAACAGATAAATAGTTTCACATATAATGATAAATTATTTCTCTTTCTTGAAAATTGAAAAATGAATTAATGGATCATTTGTTCAGTACCTAGCAAGAGGCTTGCAACTTTAGCTCCTCCTATTTTCTTTTCATCCGCTCTGCTACTTCTCTCCATAGCAGATTCCTCTCTGTAGCTGCTATCTCCTTCTGTTACCTATTTAAAGCAAATATCATACAAAAGCAAAAGGCAATTAAGTTTCCATTTTCCCCCCATAAATATCTACGATTTTATAGTGGATGTACTTAGAATTAGAATCAATGCATCATACATACAAATAGAATCAATTATATTGCAAGTTTTGAAGTGAAAAGATGGTGGAAAAATATAACAGTGGATCTACGAATTCTAAATTTCTTGAATCAGTGCTGGATTATTTGACATGTTAGACGCCTTGTACTTTTTAACGTGTTAAATATGAGAGAGAGCTGTTGAATACATGTTTCCAAATGAATGTGTAGAAATAATGATATTGTGGTACCTTGTTTGTGGCAATATTGGTGGAGTTGGCAGAGAAAGAAGTGGCCATTCTTGGCAATAGCTAGCCAAGAAGAGAAGTTAAGTGATTGAGAAAGGAAAAAAAGACTTAGAAAGCGAAGAAGAGAAGAAAATGTTGAAAGGGTGAAAAGGGTTGTTGATCGTATAGTTGGATTATAGCATGCAATATATAGAGGGTGTGAGGGATATCAGTTTCAAAGTAAGGTTTATTATTGACGTAGCTGAGCCAAAAATACGGAAATCTTAAATGATTGGAGTTGATAAGAGGAGAGAAAGTGACAATTTGGATGATAATAGTGGTGAACACTGAAAAGGGAAGGAAAGAAATCTTAAACTCTAAAATGGACGACTCTGTGCCACAAACTGGTCACTTCAGCCATAAAATACTAACAGTGTATGTAGGGACCTGCCGTTTCTTTTCCACCTATAACACTGAATCTGACGTCTTTTCGTCCTTTTCAACTCTTTTATTTTCATTAATTTTCTCATACCTCACTTCCATTTCATTTTTCAATTATTCAAGCAGAAAATTTGGTTGAAAATCCAAGTATGAATCTAAGTTCCAGTTTGATGAAAACGAGAAAGTTGAATATGAGTAATTGAGATTTTAGATTGGAAGTGGTATCAATATCTAAAAAGGCCATCAAATATTGTTTTTCAAGTTCTCAATTATGTATTGCAAATTTCATTCATCAGCTCAACCGTTGACATAGTAAGCTATGTGTGTTTTTCTTATAATGAGATGTCAATCTACCTTGGTAAATTGCATGTCTGGTTTTGTGGTTCTGTTAAGAGTTGTTGACAGTTGATGAAATGGTGATTCCACTTTCAATATCTGTCCACAAGCTGATTAATTGCTTGAATTGGACTTACCTACAACATGCAGAGTTCCGAATCATGTTACGAAATGAAATCTCGTATTATCTTATTCATCATCTTTGTTAACCTGTGTGGTCATGTAAGTAACAGTTTAGTGAACTCGTCACCTACAATACAGAATGTAAAGTTGACATCACTTTGCTTGGTTTGAACACAAACCATTGTACTGAAGAAAAAAAATGCAAGGAAAAGAGTATGACAAATCAATAAAATCTGACATAATTGGTCTATAATTGAGTTTTTCAAATACACTGTGTAGAGTTGGATTGTGAACAGAGAAATATCAGTACTGCACTGCACACTCAAATTATTAGCAGCCATTTATATTGGTATGGCAAAATACAACTAAATTTACTCAGCCAAAAGCCTAGCTTTCAACAAAATAATAGCAACACACCAATTCAAGCATTTAACTGATGAAAATTATATATACACTGATTAGTTTATGTATAACCTTGTTTAAAAAAATGCATACTAGTTCCTTATTTTTATATTTGAAATGTGTATATGTATATAATATATATACACACAGTATTTTTAAAAACAATGAAATGAAGGAGTCACTTATAATTTCCTGAATACAAAAAATGAAAGTATAATATTAATACTAATTTTAGTGAGGTCACTGTGGCGTCTATTATTAGAAATAGACCAGAAGTGACCATTTCTAAAATAGCCGTCAAACTATTTTCATTTCTATACCAGAAAATAACATATTTTTTGAACTAACATAATAGAAAAAAAAAAGGAAAATGTCAAACTCATGAAGGATTAGGAGGACTTGAAAGTACACCAGTTTTAAAAAGATTTTAGAAGTTATATTAACCATTTTATTCAATCATTACCTTATTTTACTGTTTTGTTCATTGACCAGCCAGTGATTTTGAATGGTTTTTAAATATTTGTACAATTCTTACTATATTAATGTTTTTGTTTTTAATTTTTATAATTTGTTTTAAAATTCGAAGTCATTTGTTTAATATTTGATGCAGACTACATGTTAGGCTAATCAGCAATGCTCCGACAAGACAACCAAGGAAGCATGAAATGTTTAAGATACTTTTTTCAACCATATTGTGCAAAAGTAGACGGTGATGAGGTAAAAAGATTACTGGTTTTCCTAAATTAAGGCAAGACCAGTTCAGATTTGCTTCACCACAACTTCAAATATTGTTTGAACTAGCTTGTTCCGTTTTCCAACAGCGCTGTTACTACCACCAAATTTAGTTAGTACCACAGTTGCCATTTTCGTACAACAGAAAAAACATCACAATTATAGGAATCAAGAAACTGAGAAACAAAGTGTCTGTCTTCTTGTCATCATTTTTTTCCTGTTAGTTAACGATTTGCACCTCTTCCATTAGCTGTTGAATTCTCAACCCCTTTCAAATTCAGAGATAAAAAAGAAACAATGAAAAAGGTGTTTTTATCTGAACTCTGTGATGACGAACATAAACAGGGAATGTTATTCAGACTGCAGCGAAATCAATTTTGCAGCATTTGGCGCCATGCAAGAAGAGAATAACGCAGCAGGGCCGTTGCTTCAGAAGTTCAAAGGCGTTGTGCCTCAACAAAACGGAAACTGGGGTGCCCAGATATATGCAAACCACCAGAGAATCTGGTTGGGGACTTTCAAATCGGAAAGAGAGGCTGCAATGGCTTATGACAGCGCCAGCATAAAACTCAGAAACGGAGACAGCCACAGAAACTTTCCATGGAACGATCAAACGGTGCAAGAGCCTCAGTTTCAAAGCCATTACAGCACAGAAACAATGCTGAGCATGATTAGAGATGGCACCTACCCTTCACGCTTTGCCACATTTCTCAGCACTCGTCAACAAGGTGGTGTTCTCAAGCACGTAACTTTGAAGGATGACGGCAAGGAGCAGCTTTGCTGCACCCAGCTTTTTCAGAAGGAGTTGACACCGAGTGATGTGGGGAAGCTCAACAGGCTTGTCATCCCGAAAAAGCATGCAGTCACATATTTTCCTAACGTGTGTGACGGCGGCGCAGAATCGCATGAAGAAAATGTGAGTGCTGACGTTGAGGTTGCGTTTTACGACAGGCTCATGAGACAGTGGAAATTTCGATACTGTTATTGGAAGAGCAGCCAAAGCTACGTGTTCACGAGAGGGTGGAATCGGTTTGTGAAGGACAAAAAACTGAAGGCTAAGGATACCATTGCGTTTTTCATGTGTGAACCTGTGGATTGCAGAAAAGGAGGAGAGGGAGAAGCTTTTGGATTGATCGATGTAATCTATAGTTCAGATGAAGACACCAAAGATGAACACACTGTAAAGGATTTGAATGCAGAAAAGGGTTTGAAACTCTTTGGAGTTTTGATCAAATAGTTTCAGTTCATGCTGCTTATTGGAATAATTGAAGGTTTCTTTTACAACCTCCATAGAAAATTAATGAATTCACTTTGTAACATTTTTTTAAATAATTAAATTAGTTTTTATAATATATAAGAAGTACCCGTGTAATATTTTTAAATCATTAAAGAATTAGTGAAAGGAAATATGTACTTATATATAATTTTAGGCTAAAATTAATTTTTACTAAAATTATTTAATTTATTCTTTTATTTTTATTTTCAATTAAGTTAAATTCTTGTTAAAACATTTTTATGTTAAATATGGATAAATGACGTTAATATCGTCTTTATATATATATATATATATATATATATATATATATATATCACTTACATCATTTATAAAAGCACCAGTCACACAAATCTGAAAGACGTAATCGAATAATTTAACAAAAATTAAAAATTTGAAAAGTAAAATGACCAAATTGAATAATTTCAATGAAAATTAGAAAAAAAAATAGCCATAATTTTACGAAAGTTTAAATATAATTAATGAAATTAATTTTTCAAGATCAATTACTTGAGGAAAGGCGGAAAAAGAAGAAGAGAAAAGCGGGAAAGTGAACAGCGGTTGAAATTTCCCGACCCTCGTTAAAATTCAAATCTTAAAAGGGGTTCAGAGACACTTCTTCTAAAATTGGTTCAAATTCTAACCAAACCCCTTTTCTTCCCAAATTAGGGTTTTGGGTTTTGACAGAATGAAACGTACGCGCAGAGGCGATGCCGATGCCGATGCCGATGCCGATGCCGATGCCGATGCGAATGCCGACGGCGAGGGAGTTTCCAAGAAGAAAGCGGTGCGAGAGCAGAACCCCGCTACTCGCAGGGTCATACGCTCCCAGTTCCTCAAACTCAAGACTCTCATCGGCGGTAGGTGACGTTACCATTCACTCTTTAATTTATATACAACGCTAAATTCAATTTTTGTATCCCTAATTAGCTAACCCTAAACAAACCTAACAGAGAAAAGAGATGATTTGATGAACACGGAGTCCGAGAAATTCCACAACATTTTGGAAGAGTTCGACAAGTTACACGACCAAGGTAGGTAGCTGTACTAGTTCCTTTATTTTGTTCTCGTTCTCGTTGTTGTAATATTAATTCCTCCACTGGTTGTGTGGTTTACCCTTTTACTGATTGGTCTGGTTGGATGAAATTTTTGCAGTTGAGAAGCCAAGAGAGCAGGTTGCAGATGCAGAGGCACTGTTGGATCTGACGCGCACTCTGGTAGGATCTGTTAGGAGTTTGGCGAACGAGGGTGTCACCCCTTCACAATTTGTTTCCTCTTTGCTCATACGCTATGGCCAAGGTCAAGGCCAAGATTCAATCGATTGGCAGAAACTTGGCATTGCGGTGTCCCCGATATTCCTCTCCGTTCACGGCTCTACTACCATGTCAGTTCCTCTCCTCTATTCCTTTCACGTTTCTATAATACGCCCTTTCTGTTATTGTTTTTGCTTTTTTATAGGCTTGGACCTATGGACAACGAAATCAAGAAACGAAGAATCGGAGTGCGCAAACAACGTGATGCTCGCCCTGTCGCAACTACTAGACCTGAACAGGTCACTCCCCTTTTCATACTCCTAGGCTATTCCTACGAAAGTGTGACAATGTCGTTACTACTTGCTTTGACTATAGGACTAATAGACACTTTTAGTTCACTGTGCTCGGTGGCCCACTTTGGCTGTCGTGAAACAGATTGACTTATCTATGTGTTTTATGTCTGTGAGTGCGCTGGTATTCATGCATTGTTGTTTGTTTCGAGCAGCTTGATGAGGCTGGTGCGGTGGAGAAAACTGATACTGACAAAAACATGGCAACGATGTTTAACATCTTGAGGAGGACAAAACGTGTCCGACTTGAAAATTTAATTATCAACAGAAAGTCTTTTGCTCAGACCGTGGAAAATTTGTTTTCTCTGTCATTCCTTGTAAAAGATGGTCGTGCTGAGATCAGTCTCGATGAAAATCGTTTGCACTATGTTTGTAAGACGTTTCCACCTCAATCAATTTCTTACTTGTTTCGTATCTCTTTTTTAACCACGGGTACTTACACTGTCATCTTTTTCAGCTCCTAAAAATGCTCCAGCTGCTAACTTGGTATCATCAAAAGAAGTTTCTTATAGTCATTTTGTATTCAGATATGATTACCAAGATTGGAAGGTATGTATAGGTACACGAATGTAAAGTAAGAATTTGAGGAGCAAATTGAGAATTTAATTCTACGATTGACGTTTTTATGGGGTTGCAATAATTTAGAGTTACAACATCATTGTTTAAAAAGGGAAAAACTGTTAATGATATCATAAGTGGTTAACAATCCTGGCAGTATCAATGTGTATCGTATGACACTTTGTTCAACCACTGACCTTGAAAAAAGAAGAAAATAAAAAGCAAAATTATTGTTAAAAAACATTGGTTCTTTTTTCTGCTATTACAGACAGTTAATTAAAAGTATATGTACGTTGTTGATATTATGAGCTGTTGAATTATACCCTTTAGGCAAATATTGCTATAGTTCAAATGCGTTTTTCATTTAAAGGCCTGGACATTAAATTACAAGTCTCTATATAAGTCTTCCAACGTGTTTACAGCTTATGAAAGATGTAGTGCCGGAAGGGGAAGAGTTGATGCCAAATCGGGTTCAATGTGCTACCGCTGCTTACCCTCAGGAAAGGATGGGTGTGGACGATTCTCAACCTGCTTTGGCTTTAACACCTATCAGGAAGCTATCACGGAATCGAGGACTGGTTGTACAGGAGGAAAGTGTTGTAGAAGAAACTCCTGAATGTGATGAAGAAAATGTTTCCAGAGAAGCGGCTATTCGGAGGTGTAAGCGTAAACTTGATGAAGAAATAGCACATTAGGTGTGAACAACTTCAAATTTACATGAATATGTTTTGTTCAGCTCGCCAAGCTGACCTTTTAGTTATATATATAGAGAGAATGTAAATATTTTCAGGTCCATGATGCCATGCGTTTTGAAGGCTGGACGTAATTTTAGCTTCCTTTTCTGTCAATATTTCATCTGCAACTATCAGGAAAATTTTCACTGCATATAAGTATATTATGTTGGTGACAAGGGTTTCAAATGACCATGCTCTAATCAATTTGGAAAAGTACTGAAACATTCTATTCAGGAAACGTTGGTAGTGTGCGGTGAAGGCGGACCATGTTTATCAAAAAGCGATGTTACCAGTATTAGTACTCTTGTGACAGTGTTGTTGTTGGTGTGCAGGTACAAATTGTTAAGATGTCTTTATTAAAATAATCGATTAATCTTCAATCTGTCTTGATATGTTGGTGAACTTTGCAAACAAAAATTTGCTGATTCCCTCGAATTTGGAAAGTTTAATATCTTAAGAATAGTGACAACCTGGGAAGCATCTAAAAGGTTAGATCGCACACTAACAAAAACAGTAAACACTGGTTCAGTATCTTTAGTATTTTTGTATATTGTTGAGCATCCAAGCCTATGTCAAAAGATGTAGGGTTGATGCGTCGTTATATATAGCATTATCTTAAAAAGATGACATCTGATCAAGCGTTATAACACCAATCAAACCATGTTTTTTTTGACATTCTACCATTACACATAACTACTATTTGCAGACCATAAAGTTGTTCATGGTAAATCATTTGCGCAGTACATTTTTATTATCTTGGATGGCATTGGTGTCATAACATCGTTATTCGTTTGCTGTAGTAGCTCCTCTATAAGGCACTGGTATGGCTTTCAAAGGAATGGCTTTCCTCAGCGTTATTCCCAGTCCCTCAGTCATGTCCATCTCCTCTGGTTTGAGGCCATCTGGCAAAACCCAGTCAAAGGAATGCAAGAGGGAGCCCAATGCCAAGGTAAGCACACGAGAGGCGAGTGGCATGGCTGGGCACATTCTTCGACCCGAACCAAAGGGTATAAACTCAAAATGACGCCCTTTGTAGTCCACCACGGTGTTTGGCTCCAGAAATCTTTCAGGCCAGAACAATAAGGGAGCATCCCACACTTTGCAGTCCCTTCCTATTGCCCAAACATTCACTAAAATCTGTGACTCTTTGGGAATATCGTAGCCAAGCATGTTGCAGGACTCCATAGCCATATGAGGAACCATAAGAGGAAGAGGTGGGTGAAGTCTCAGTGTCTCCTTGATCACCGCTTGCAGGTAGGGAAGATTCTCCATGTCCTTTTCTTCCATGTTCCTACCGGACCCTATTTTGTTCCTCAACTCTATCTGCACTTTCTTTAGCGTTCTTGGGTTGTGCAGAAGCTCTGCCATTGCCCATTCGATTGTGCTCGTCGTCGTGTCTGTTCCTGCAGTGAACATTTCCTGCAACCATCCAAACCAAATGTTCAAAAAATTCTCCAAAGAGTAGTTTATAGGAAGCAAAACCCTTTAGAGGGACTTACAAAGATAATAACGTTAATAGTTCTTGAAGAAAAAGTATAGGACTGAGTGGTAGAATCCCCACGAAAAGCCAACAAGACATCCAAGTAATCTTTTGTTTCCTTGGATCCACCGTGACTCTTTTCCATCCTTTCTTTGATGAACGAGCCTGCAATGTCAAAGGCTTGGTTGACGTGGAACTGTGTCTTCCTCCTTATACCCTGAGGATCAAACCACTTGAGAAATGGCAAGAAATCTGCCATGTTGGGCTTCCCAGCATACTCCATAACCTTAAGTGCATGGTAATAAAATCTATCCCCTCTCTCAGTCTCAGACTCCAACAAGTCCTTTGAGAATACGAGGTTCCCAATAAGGTTAAAATCCATCAAGAAAAAAAACCTCCCAACATCAACCGCACGTGTGCCTGATTCACCAGCTTCTTCAATCAAACGCAGCATGCGGTGTATACATTTTTCACGAACACCCCGCATCGCATCTAAGCGACTGGTAACAAAGAACTCAGAGGTGCACAAGCGCTTCAGCATGCGCCAGTGTGAGTTGTACTGAGAAGTTACAAGGGAACCCTCAGTCCC